CCGGTTCGGGCCGCCCGGCCCGGGACCAGCCCGGCCCGCCACTGTGCGGGCCCGAAACCGGCCCGGTTCTCGGGTCCGGGTCCGGGTCGGGCCTAGGCCCGGTGCGGGGGGCGGGTCCGGGCTCGGGCCTTGTATTTGGCGAACCGGCCCGGCCGGGTCGGGACCGGGCCGAATTGATTTTTTTTTATTTTTTTTTTTCATTTTTTGGGGTTAGCCGGGTTGGGCTTGATGGTTAGGAGGGGTTTGGGGGGTGGGGGGGTGAGTGGGGGGGTTAGGAAAGCAAAAAAAAAAAAAAAAAAAAAAATTATGACCGAACCGGAGGCCCGGCCCGGCCCGGCCCGGACCCGGACAGGACCCGGTGGCTACCCGGGCCGGTCCCGGGCCTTCCTTCCCATAAAAAAGCCCGACCGGGCCCGGCCCGGGTCCATGACTAGATGAGATATAAAAAGATCGTTTAGCTAATCGGATGAGAAATTTGAAAATTGACTCAGCCATAAAATCCCAATACTTCTATAGTTCTATTCGTAAAGAGTCTGAAAACTCTAAACATCACAAACTCAAGCAATTCGTTCATTTGGTCCAAAATCGGTCTAAATGTATAGGTGTGTGTGCATTTAAAATGCTGGATCATTGAAATACTCACTAGTGACATGGTTTCTGTATGTGCCTGTGCACATCAAGTCATCAACATAACACATGGTATATGTAACAATATATAGGGTAGATGTGGATGGTTAAGCAGTCACCAATCAACAAATCTTTGTTAAAGTGATGTTTTTACAATTAAAACATTAAATAATGATAAATAATTGCATTAAATATTCACACATGTATATGTTCTTACATATGGCAGATGATTGCCTATTTTGGTGCTTCAAATACGGTGCGGCCTAAACTGACAATACACTTTAATTACTTTTTAGGTCTTTGAAATGCAATTAAAGTGAAAAAAAATTACTCTAACTAAAACTCGTCGACATTCGATCCTATGACCTCATTAGTTTTTTCCCCAAAATAATACTAGTAGTTAAATTCATACGGAGTAATATTTAATTTATTATTTAATGAATAAATACATAAATTTTATGGACTAAGATGCCCTTAAATGGATATTATAAAACACTAACTTCCTACTCATTTCTTAAAACATCTAGTCATTAAATTAGCCCGCCGTCGCAGCATCTGTCTCCCCCATCGCCGCGGCCGTCCCCACGTGTCGCCGCAATCCCCATGCCCGTTTGCCGCAGGCCGTCCACATGCCTGCGCTGCCGCTGTCTCCATGTTTACCGGACGCAGCCATTCCCGACCATGCCGTGGTGCTGTTGTCGTCCCAAAGCCCGTGCGCCTGCCCGCATCCGCAGCTGCACCCATTGTCACGCTCCAAACCGCACCTAGACCGTGTACAATGTCGTACAATCAAGTGAAGTCATCCACGAGTCACACTCACTCAATTGTGCAAGGCGTCCATGAACATTGTTCATACCATACATAATACGTAAACATACATAACAACATCAATATTTAGATTGAATGAATAGCGGAAATATTCAATATTCAATCATGGGCCACATATGGCAAAATGTGGGATCGCAGGCTCAAAACAAAGTATGCATTATAAAATATAAAGTAGGAAAGAGAGTGTATTAAGAAGATAAAGTAATGATAAAGTAGGAAAAAGAAAGTAGTTTGTAAAAAGTAAGTGGAGTAAAAATAATAAAAGTGGGAGTATTTTCTCAAAAACTTTCCTTAAATGGAAAGGAGGGCAAATAAAAAAAATAGACCAAATTGGAATGGAGGACTATTAATAAAGAATAGAGGGAGTATATATACTAATAACATTTTTTTTAGGTGGGGCCTTGGCCCTACCTGGCTATATGCCAGATCCGCCCTGCATATAGGTGTACGTAAAAGGTGGGGGAGTGTGGCTGTGTATATATGTATGCTATCTGCTCATCTGTTGATGCATCCATCTATTGATCTTCCCTCATAACACATACATACCCGTCAGCTTCAATTCATCAACTAAAAATGAGAAGTCGTCTTTTGACTCTCATCACTACCCTGGCATTTCTCATACATCCTACATACCCTCAATCACGACCCCAAACATGGGATTCAATGATGTTAGCATTGACATGGTCACCTGGCTACTGCTCAGCAAACAAAGACACATGTGATCCACAGAGAATCAAACCCGACTTTACAATCCATGGTCTATGGCCATACAGTGAGTGTGGACCAATGTCCGTGGATCCTAATGCTTCGCTGTTCGATATGGTAACCATTATATATATACTTCGTATATATATATATATGTATATATATTTATTGGTGTTGTTATTGTTGTTAATGTAGGTATTACACTTAATTAAGTTTTTTATTCAATATATAAATTTTAACATGTTCATAATTTATTGAATTGAAGGAGATTATTTTGGAGGACGGGCAGCTGATCAACGAGCTAGATCTCTATTGGGTGAATTATGAAAAGGGGGAGACTAACTTGTGTTTGTGGAGGCACGAATAGAATGAACATGGTCGCTACGCAGCCTCTTTGCTAGGCGAAAAGCAGTACTTTGAGAGGACCATTTAACCCTTTCATGCCTACAATATGACTGACGTTCTCATAAGAAATTTTATTTCAGCAGGGTAGGTTTATGGGATTGAAAAGGTAAGAGGTAAATAATTTATGCTTTAATAGGTAAGAGGTAAAACATACGAGACTTTTGAATCTGTGTGTTCTCTGGTATATATCATTCTTGTTTTATTAAAACCAAATTTACTCATTTATTTAGTAGGCATAAACCTTCCCTGTTGAAATAAAACTTCTCATGAGAATGTCAGTCATATTGTACGCATGAAAGAGTTGAAGGGCTTCTCAAAGTACTCCTTTTCGCGTAGCAAAGAGGCGGCGTAGCGACAATGTTCATTCCACTTGTGCCTCCAGAGACCCAAGTTAGTCTTCCCGTTTTCATAATTCACCCAATAGAGATCTAGCTCGTTGGTTGGCTACCGGTCCGCCAAAATAATCCCCTTCAATTCAATAAATTATGAACCCATTGTTAAAATTCATATATTGAATAAAAAATTTAATTAAGTGTAATACCTACATTAACAACAATAATAACACCAATATGGATCCATATCAAACAAAGGAGCATTAGGATCCATGAACATAGATCCACGCTCACTGTATGGCCATATGCCATGGATTGTATAGTCAGATCTGATTTTCAGTGGATCACGAGTTTCTTTGTTTGTTGAGCAGTAACCAGGTGGCCATGTCACCGCTAACATCATTGAGTCTCATGTTGGGGGTCATGGTTGAGGGTATGTGGGATGTAGGAGAAATGCGAGAGTGATGAGAGTCAAAACTCAAAAGACTTCTCATTTTTAGTTGATGAAGCTGCCGGCATATGTAAGTGTTATATGAGAAGATGAGAAGATCGATAGACGATGGATGGATAACAGATGAGCGAATAGCATATATATATATATATATATATATATATATATATATATACACACACACACACACATAGTGGTTTTGGTTCAAATAAGAACATGATCTTATAAGAAAAATGAGAACGAATATGGACCGTTAGATTTACTTTATGTGAAATTCAATGTGCATTAGATGGAGCTGCAATGTGTATTAGGTGAAATTGAAATGTGCAGCACAAAATGTACGATGTAGTGGCATTATGTGAAGTTAAATTATGCATTAGGTGAAATTGAAATGTGCACTAGATGAAACTAAAATGTGCAGAATAAAAGGTACGATGTAATGTTGTTTTTGTATGTTTTATTCTGCACATTTCAGTTTCACCTAATGCACATGTGAGTTTAAATTTTTATTCTGCACATTTCAATATCATCTAATGCACATTTCAGTTTCACCAAATGCACAATTCAGTTCCACATAATTTAATCCAACGGTCCAGATTCGTTCTCATTTTTCTCCTAAGATCCATTCTTACCGGAACCGCTCCCTATACACAGTCACACTCCCCCCACCTTTTACGTACACCTATATGTCTATAGGCAGTACAAGCCATGTCACGTACGTAAGTGCATATAGTTTATGGTACACATGTGCGGATCCAGACAGGTATAATGGGGTGGGCTGAGGGAAAAATTAGAAAGACACATACATAAATACATAAATACATAATAATACGTCAAGTCATCAACACTTTAAATATTCATCAAAACATCATTTAAGTTGTGTGCTACGTGACTTCAAAGTATAAAATTCATCAATAATAGAATCTACATCTATGTTGTTGACAAAATCTCTTTTAAGAGAATCCATTCTAAAAACATTTTAAGTATTGATATGAATTAAAATACTTCTATAAAAATATAAATTATGAAGTAATAAGAAAAACGAATTGTTTTACATAAAACTAGTAAGTATTTCCAATTTCAAAATTTAATTGAAAGTTTCAATTTCTTCTTACATGCCCATACAATAAATATATAAATCATTCTCTTCAATTGTATAATCAATAAATCATTCTATAAGATTTAATTACATCTTTAATCATTATAAATCTATAATGAATTTTTCCCTATTTTATTAGAGTTTTGCTAGAAGTACACAAAATGTGTACACATGTCTGTGACAGACAAAAATTTCTGTGAAGGACAGACATGTGTACACATTTTGTGTACCTCAAGCATTTTTTGATTTTATTATGCACTGAAAAATTCAACTGATAATTAAATTGATTAACTAAGGGACTAACCCTAACACTCTAAAGGCTAAAAATAATAAAAGTTAACAGTCTTAACACAATCACAAAATAATACAATAAGATTTTAAATAAAAAAAACTCACCTGCGCCAGAGCTTGACGAAGAGCCGAGAGGCGGGAGAGGAAGGACGCCTGAGTCTGGACGGCCGACGACGTAGCGGCGTGCACGGGGGCGGAGGGTCGCAGGTCACAAGTTGGACCGCCGGTCGTCGCAAGCTGCCAAGCTCTTCGATTTTCTTTCTTCCGTTCGGCCTGTTGAAGCGCAGGTAAGTTATAAACTTATTAGTTGGGCTGAGCTGTGGGCCGGGAATTGATTTTGGGGTAACCCATATCTATACTAATAAAACTAAAATAATATGGGCTCGGCTGACGCCCACCCCTGCCCTCACAGAGTCACAGCCACTGGAATTGGTACACGATTTAGGGAGTGTTTGCAATAGCTTAAAAAAAAGCACTTCTCAGCTTTTGGCTTAAAAAAGCACTTATTTACCAAACACTTCCAATTTTTACTTTTTCTCGGCTTGCGTGTGAAAAGTGCTTTTCCCTTTTCTATTACACAAAAAACACTTATTTTACCAAACACTATCAACTTTTACTTTTCAAAATCACTTTTTTCTCAAACACTATCAACTTTTACTACTAATCACTTTTTCATTACTTCTCCAAAAGTGCTTTTTTTTTAAGCAGAAGCAGTTGCAAACACTCCCTTAGGTCTTTGAGATGCAATAATTAGACTCACTTTGATTTTAGTCTTCCTTCATAGAGTACAATTAGTACAACAAAAATAACAGCCAACAGATCAATAGCCAATAGGAATAATACAACGAATGTACTTTATTGAAGGTTGGTACTTTTTCAATTGAAAAAGTATTATAGTACGGAGTATCACAAAAATGACAAACAAACAAATCAATAGGAATAATATAAAGAACTAATATAAAGAACTAACGTGAGTTACAAAAAATGTGACAGTGACATCTCTTAGTGACATGAAAATCTAGCAATGACATGAAAATTTTATTGTGACCTAAAAGTCACGTTTTTTCCTGAGAGATGACCTTGTTAGTCACATATTTATTCTTATGTAAAAGTGATAACTTCTTTGGAAATTGGCTTAAATTCAGTCTTGTTTAAGGAAAAACCTCGAGAATGTACTACTATTGCGTGCAGAATTGCAGATTTTACTTAATTATATGAGTGCATTATTATGGGAATATTATATGTCGATCGGCACCGCCGTTCTTGGTTCGTTGCCAACATCAAACTGCTCCACCACCACCCTGACCGTCGTTCTTGGTCCGTTGCAAAATTTTGATAACATATATTTGTGCATGACTCCAAGAATTCATAACTCACTTAGGAAAATTTTCTACTTTTTTTTTGCTTTCAAAGTGCAAATACTACGTATGAATTTTCTGTTCTTATAGTAAATTGTAGACTTTATGGCCGGTATTGTAGCGTTCACACTTCACACTTACAGCTAGTACATCCGTTAGTGGTAGTTTTCATAACTCCTGCACTTGGCAAATATAATTATCTGTTATACGGAGTAGTAAATTGTACATATATATCATATACTTTCTCCGTTCCTTTTTAATTGCAACGGTCCACTTTTCATGTTTGCCAACGCACAAGTTTGACCACTAATATCTTTGATTCCTTATGTGTAAAAAAAAATTAAAAAATCAGATTCTGAAAATTCAAAATGAGAGGAATTTAAAAACATTTTTTTAAAAATTTAATTTATAATACATTAATTAATAAAATATAGTCAAAGTAGATTATGTGAATAGTACAAAAAGTCCAACGTTGTAATTAAAAGAGAACGTGGCCAGTACTAGTATATACCATGCATGACTTTGTGGCCAGCGTTCACAACTTCACACTTAATTTACGTTAGTTGTAGTTTTTAGGTGGTAATTTTTAAGTAGTAATTTTTGGATTTTTGTTCTAAAATTTGAAATTGGTGTTTTGAAGATACAAATTTTATTTGAGGTTGAAATACGTTTAGTCCCGATAATATGACAAACGTTTGCTTGAATTGGAGTATAAAATTGTTGGTCCATAAAAGAGAATTATTATTGCTATGGAAAAAACTATAAAAATCTCAAATGTTTTTTTAAATGTTTCGGTTCGGTATTTTTCGGTTTTCAAAATCTAGGACCGGTCCCATGCCCATTTGAAACGACACGGTTTCGGGTCGGAATTAAATTTTATAGAATCATTGTAATACTCGGTATTCAATTCGGAACCATTAGAGTCCGATTTGGTACTGGTTCGATTCAGTTTTTATGTCCACGGTCCACCCCTATTCAAAACTACTATGGAGTAGACATCAGATCCTTCAAATAGAATTTAGGAGTGCTGCATGATTTACGGAGTACTATACATTAAATATCCGAGAATCAAGAGTCCAAGAAAACACCAAAGGAGTAAGAATTTTCGTTGGACAAAAAGCAAATTAATAGATTCCAATACAAAGAACTTACGTTATTGAGGGTTAATACTTTTTCAATTAAAAAAGTATTATAGTACGGAGTATAACAAAAATAACAACTAACAGATCAATAGGAATAATACAAAGAATTTACTTTATTGAAGGTTGATACTTTTTCAATTGAAAAAGTATTATAGTACGGAGTACAACAAAAATAACAACAGATCGATAGGAATAATACAACGAATTTACTTTATTGAAGGTTGATACTTTTTCAATTGAAAAAGTATTATAGTACGGAGTATATCATAAAAATGACAAACAAACAAATCAATAGGAATAACACAAACAACTACTACCTCCTTAACATAAATATTTTCTCACTTTTCTTTTTTGGACATAACACTAATATCTTCCCATTTCTAAATCTTCCCATCATACCCTCAATAATTTTAAAAATAATACACTATTACACCTACTTTTTTTGGATTTATCCTTCATTCCATCACATTATTTCACTATCTTCCCATCATACCCCTAATAATACATATCTCCTTTTACTATTCTTAATCTACCTACTTTTCAAATGGGAACATCCCAATGTTACGGAGGTAGTAATTTGCAAAAAAAAAAAACACAAAGAACTAACGTGAGTTATGAAAAATATGGCAGTACTCACTATTAGTGACATGAAAATCTGGCAGTGCCCAGTGGCGGACCCTAAAAAATAGAGTCACGCGCGGGTCCCAATTTAACTCTAATTAATATAAATTTAATAAATAATATAAGCAAAAGACTACATATGAAAGAAACATATTATTTCATAATTAACGTACTTCCAAAATCACACATAAGTGGGAAATATTATGCCTTGTTATTTATTCTTTCTCCATTGCTCTTCTTCTTTGTCTTTTTTAAGGGATAATGTTTAATGTTTTACTTAAGTTAACCGCAACTCTATCCGTCAATAAATCAAATTTCTTACTAATTTCTATATTTTGGCTCAGTCAATTCAATTTTTATTACAATCCAGCACAATAAATATATTCACTTAGCAAAAAAAATTAATTAGGAATCTTACTAGTTTCTACATATAAGTCTTACTTTTATTATTATACATCATTTGTTGTGAATATTTATGATGATTGAAAAAGTCAAACATTTTGACATAAAAACCAAAAAAATTGGAGTTCATATATTTTTTTGTGATACTTCAAACATATTTGTAAGAAACAAAAGTTGCAAACTAAAATAACCATAAATCTTAATTTTAGCAATGTTTTTAGAAAACTTTGGGTCTGGAAATCAACCGCAATTGGAATTCTATATTTTTTTTTCACTTTATATATGTAATATTGGTGTCATATAAAGATAAAAAAATAATGTATGATTTTAAAATATATTTTTTATAAAATCGTATTAGAAATAAAAAAGTTATAATACTTTGAAATAATTGAGGATTAACATTTTAATGGCTCCATTGTCTTTTGTAACCTGGGTGAAAGGCCTTTATATTACGGACAATTTGTAGCAGCAAGTGAGACTGTGGGGTGATAAGTTAAAAAAAAAAAAAACTGGAGGATTAAGGCTTTAAGGGTACGATCCTTGCACCTCCGGAGCATTAGATTGATCCTTAGCATCAATTGATCCTTAGCTAATCACGCTTATCAGTCAAGTTTTTCATCAAACACGTAATTTTTTATTTCACACGTTGAATTGGTTAATAATAAGAAAAAGTAAGGTTGAAGTTACTTTTCTGATTGTATTGGTAGAAGACCATTTTAGCTATTTTACATGTAAATTTTTCTTAATTTTGTTAATAAAATATATTTAATTTTAAATATAATTTTTCGATGAATCAGCAGAATCGGTCAATTTAATCACTACAGCCAGAACTTCATAAATTTCAGCACAATTAGTCGATTCAGCCGATTTTGAAATTATCAAACATGCTCATAATTATTTGTTCTTATAGTAAGTTGTGCATACCATGACTTTCACACTTGATTAATTCACGTTAGTTGTAGACTTGTAGTTTTTGGGTATGTTTGGCACAACTAGCTGAAAAGATACTTTTGTGAGCTTTTTAGTAACTGTTAGCTTTTAGTGACTGAAAAGATCTTGAAAAGAAAAGGTGATAGCTGTTTGGTAAAAAGCCGACTGTTTGATTTAGTTCGGTTTGGTATACAAGCTGTTAGGACTAATTAATACTAAAAGTCACGAGCTTTTCTCAGATGCTACACCCGGTAGCATCTCAAAAAAGATCTTTTAATTTTTGAAAAGCTCTTAAAAAATGTCATGCCAAACATACAACTAAAGTCTTTTAAGGTCTTTTTAAAGAAAAGAGAAGCCAGAAGACAGAGGCTTTTGTGTGCCAAACATGGCCTTTACTTTTTAGGTGGTAATTTTGAAGTACGCAGTAGTAATTTTTGGGTTTTGTTTTTTTGAAAACTTTTTGGGTTTTTTTTTAAAAATTTGAATTGGTGTTTTGAAGATACAAATTTTATTTTAGTTTCAAATACGTTGTTAGTCCTGATAATATGACACTTTATTTTAGGTTTCTACAAAAAAAATCTTTGCATCCCTACAACATGAAATATTTTATTTTAATACGCAGTATACATGTGTTTTGAGATTTTAAATTAAAACCTTAAATGTTTTAAAGAGCTAAATCAATTTTTACGAAACAGTTTTGTGTCTGTTCCTTCAATTGAATTTGAAAGCTATACTCCTTATAATAATGTGTGAAGCATACACTAATAATTTGGCATATAATAATTATCAGGAATCTAGAGATGGATAGGTCATGGATAAAGGAAGGTAACAGACTGTGTGAAGCATACACAAATGGAGTTGATGAGTTTATACAGTTTGCTATTGTTAACTCAGAAAATCGTAGATCATTCAGGTGTCCGTGTAAAGATTGTTGCAACATGGAATATAGTACTCCTGAAAAAATTAAAATGCATTTGTTGAGAGTAGGTTTCATGAAAACTTACCTTATTTGGAGTAGGCATGGAGAGACTGAACCGCCCCCTAAATTTATTCCGTCACAGTCAACATATCATGATCAAAATGAAGTTGATGAGATGTTAGGTGATATCTATGAACAACTAGAGGGTAACCCAAAAGCTTTTAAGGAAGTAGTTGAAGATGCAGAAAAGCCATTGTATCAAGGGTCAAATTATACTAGGCTGTCAGGGTTAATGTTGCTGTTCAATATTAAAGGGAAATATGGGTGGTCTGATCAAGGGTTCACAGCTTTATTAGAAGCTATTTCAAGAATATTACCCGCTGACAACACTATTCCTAAGTCAATGTATGAAGCTAAGAAAATAATGAAGGTTTTAGGATTGGATTATAAAAAAATACATGCTTGCCGCAATGACTGCATCCTTTTTCATAAGCAACACAGTGACATTGAAGTCTGTCCCAAATGTGGTGAGTCTAGGTGGAAAGAAAAAAAAAATGGAGCCATAACAGCTACCAATAGAATTCCTGAGAAAGTGATGTGGTATTTTCCTCCAATTCCTCGATTCAAGCGTATGTTCCAATCACCCCAAACTGCTGAGCACTTGACATGGCACGCAAATCAGCGCATTAAAGATGGGAAATTGCGTCATCCAGCCGATGCTCAAGCTTGGAAACACATCGATAAAGTCTGGCCTGAATTTAGTGAAGATCCTAGAAATCTAAGGTTGGCTCTTTCAAGTGATGGAGTAAATCCTCACAGTTCACTCAGCTCCTCGTACAGTGTTTGGCCTGTCCAATTAGTTATTTACAACCTTCCGCCTTGGTTGACCATGAAACGAAAGTTCATGATGTTATCTCTCTTAATATCCGGTCCTAAATTGCCCGGAAATGATATAGATGTCTATTTAGAACCCTTGATAGATGACCTAAACACTCTTTGGCATTTGGGTGTAGAAGTTTTCGATAGTTTTAGAAAGGAAACCTTCAAGTTAAGGGCTATACTGATGTGGACTATAAGCGACTTTCCTGCTTATGGTAATCTGTCCGCGTGCACTGTGAAGGGCTATTATGCTTGCCCCATTTGTGGTCCAGCCACTTCATCTACATGGCTGAAATGTAGCAAAAAATGTGTGTATATGAGTCATCGCCGCTTTTTACCGGATAACCATAGGTTTAGAGATCTTAAGAAACCTTTCAATAATAAAGTAGAGAGAGCTGGAGCCCCAGCAACTCTCTCTGGTGAAGAGGTTCTCGAATTGGTAGAAGGGATAAATTATAAGAGTGGGAAGCGCAAGGATGGCAAACGAAAGAGAAGGTGTGATCAGAATGATGGGGGTGTGAACAAATTGTTCAAACGCAAATCGATTTTTTTTTAACTTAGAGTATTGGCAGCATTTGCTAGTTCGTCACCTACTAGATGTGATGCACATTGAAAAGAACGTGTGCGAGAGCATCTATGGAACCCTTCTGGATCAATCGAAAAAGTCAAAGGATGGGCCCCAAGCTCGAAACGACCTTAATCATTTGAAAATAAAGAAACACTTAATTCCTGAAGAAAATTCGAATTCTTTACCTCCGGCACCCTACACCTTGACCAAACAAGACAAACACAAATTCTGTGAAACCATTTTGGCAATAAAGGTACAAGATGGTTATTCCTCTAACCTGAAAAGCATTGTTTCTGATGACGAGAGTCACCTTCAAGGTCTCAAGTCTCATGATTGTCACACCTTGATGCAACAGATACTTCCCTTAGCCATTCGTGACATGTCAGTGGCTGAAAATGTTACAAATGCTATTACTAACTTCTGTTTATTCTTTAATAAATTGTGTGAGAAAGTGTTGGATATTGATTCACTTGATGAACTAGAGTCTAATCACCACATCACCATGTGCTATTTTGAGCAATACTTTCTGCCTTCCTTTTTCGATATAATGGTTCATTTAACGGTCCATCTCGTTGCTCAAGTGCGATTATGTGGCCCGGTTTACCTTTGTTGGATGTACCCTTTTGAGAGAAGCATGAAGTTCTTAAAAGCGTATGTCCGCAATCATTACCATCCCGAGGGATGCATGGCAGAATGTTACGCAGCTGAAGAAGCGCTAGAGTTTTGCGCTGAATATCTTGCAAATCACCAGTCCATTGGATTACCTGTAGATTGTAACAATATCGAGCCAATTGAGAGGCCCCTAGGACGTGGGGATACTAAAATAGTGGACTGTTCCTTCCTCGAGCAAGCACATCGAACCGTTCTATTTAATACACCAGAAGTTTTGCCGTACATACAGTAAGAATTCATTTTAGTTTTCTCCATTCTGTCCATTTTTTCAAAAGCCAAATATCTTATTGTTTGTTCATAAATGAAAAAAGGCAGCACATGCTGGAGCTGCAATCAAACTTTGACGGTTGTTGTGAAACCGAGCATTATCGAGTCTTTGTCTCATGGTTTGAGGAGAAGGTTAAATGCTCTTTAATTTTATGTTACTGAAAATACATATTTAACACAAATATATTGAACTTTAAATTTATAATGTGTAGGTCCATAATGATATTGCAAATGGTGTGTGTGTTGAGGAAATAGTCCAGTGGCTAGCAAAAAAACCAAACACAACCATGACAACATATTCACGCTACATTGTAAATGGATATAGCTTTGCAACAAAGGATCGGGATTTGAATCGAGTAACACAAAATAGCGGGGTTACTCTTATAGCAGACACGACTGAAGTTTCCAGCATGAATTACTATGGTGTCGTTGTAGAAATATGGGTCCTTCACTACCTCATGACTAAGAGGGTCGTTTTCAAGTGTGATTGGGTACATAGTAGGCATGTCAAAAAAGACAAGTTGGGGTTCACATTAGTTGATCTAAATAAGATTGGTCACAAAACAGATTGTTTCATTTTAGCCTCACATGCAAAGCAAGTTTTTTACGTGAAAGATCAACTTGATCCAAGAAAATCTATAGTTTGTTCAGTTGGTCAAAGGGTCAATAATTCTGCGGATACTGAATGTGATGAAATGATCATACATGAGCCCCTAACTTCACAATACCCAATAAATATTCCAGATTCGGGAACCATAGATGATGGTGATGGTCACCATAAACTGTCCTCTCAATGAAACGTCTGTGAGTCCAGAGTGCAATGTCTTTTCTTGTTACAATAACTGACTCTTTGATGTTACAAAGCTTTATAGGTGAATTTTTCAGATTTTCAGTTGTGTATTATTTAATTTAGTGTCTGTTTAGAAAGAACTAATATTTTTTACTTATTTCTCCGTTTGTATATGCAGGATGAAGTCAGCTTCGAAAAGTCGCAACAAAGACACAAAAGATGTAGAGCCAGAAGATGATATGGATGACTTGAACGAGAAACCAATTAGGCGACAGAAAACAAAGAAGAAAATGTTGCTCCAGAAATGTACTGATAAGAAAGTGGTGGTCAAAGTGAATGAGTTTGGTGTTCTTGCTGGTGAGGGCTGGACTGAACTGGTCAGTTACATTGGGGTGTTGTTGAGAGACTATGTATCGATAATGTTTGATGATTGGAGAGCAGTTCCAGAGAAAATCACAGACGGCATTTGGGGGAATATTCTGGTAAGTAATAAAATATTTATTATACTACACTGCAAGTTTTTAATTATTACAATCTGATTATAAGGTGTTGCTTATTTCAATTATCTGAATGGATTATGGTTATAGAGTTCATTTTGGATTTACTTATTTTAAAGGATTAAGTTCCTTTAAATGCAGGCTGTTTTGTTACTTGAAAAAGAAGCATCAGGAAGGTAAATGGAAAAGAAGCATGAATTTGAAAGTTGCCCTTTTTCTTTTCTTTTACTTTATATATTCCGTCTTAATGTATTACAAAGTATATGTTGTTAGATGTAGCCTAGAGGTGGTTTCAGCAGATTCAGAAAACTACATTGCATGTTTTTAATTATTACAATCTGATTATAAGGTGTTGCTTATTTAAATTATCTGAATGGATTAGGGTTATAGAGTTCATTTTGGATTTACTTATTTTAAAGGATTAAGTTCCTTTAAATGCGGGCTGTTTTGTTACTTGAAAAAGAAGCATCAGGTAAATGGAAAAGAAGCATGAATTTGAAAGTTGCTCTTTCTCTTTTCTTTCACTTTATATATTTCGTATTAATGTATTACAAAATATATGTTGTTAGATGTAGCCTAGAGGTGATTTCAGTAAATTCAAAAAACTTAATGTCATTGTCAGTAAGTTGTGAATGGTTAGAAAGTTGCCGAGTAGAAGAACAATGTCATTGTCAGTGACACTAGTTCTTAACTTACAGGTTCTGAATGGTTATGAATGTAAAAAAAAAGGATGCATGTATATTAATGTCAGTGAACAATAGTAAAAAATGATTGTTCATTTTACAGACAACTTCATCAAGATACAATAATTATGATATTTTTGTTGTAGAAATTGTTTGACTTGCCTCCGAATTCAAGGAAACATGTCTACAGTGCAATGGGAGTTGCGCTCAGAAATTTCAGAAGCACGCTTCGCACGAAGTTCATCTGGAAGTTCAAGAATAATCGCGAGAAGTTACGCTATCCTCCAGAAAAGTATAAGCAGATCACTACCGATGAATGGAGAATGTTTGTTAAAAAGACATTCAAAGAAGAATTTCAGGTTATTATAATTGTTAAAGAAGTATTATTAAATAGTAATACATTTTTTTTACGAAAACTTTATTATTTGTAAATGGTTTTAGGCAAAAAGCAAAAAAAGGAGAGAGAATCGGAAGAAGAATATATATAACCACCGACTGGGATCCACAGGTTATGCGGGGTTAATTAAGAAGAAGGTTTGTCCTCATCTTCTATGTTATTACTAATTGATGTTTGGTTGTTTGGGTGACTATTTTTTATTTTGTCAAAACTAACAGAAAAAAGAACTTGGAAGTAATGCGATAGTCATCGATCGATCAGACACATGGCTGTGGGGAAGGGAAAAAAAGGGAGGCGGATACGATGATAGTGTGATTGAAGTGGCTAATGAAATCGTAAGTTTTGTTTATTAGAAATAGCGTGTTTTTAACCTTTTAATTATCACTGGTAGCTTACTTTGTTATAAATAGCTTACTTGGTTTCAAATTTATAAATACCTTATGAATTTCAACTCTGTTTTAAATTTATAACTCTGTTTCAGATTTAGTATGTGTTTTTAACTCTGTTTCAAATTAATAAATAGCTTATATTTTTATAAATTAAATCTATAATTGGTAGCTTGTTGTGTTTCTTGAAATCCAAAGTGATTGTTTATACTACTTCTACAACCAATCTTTACATGAATATGTTATTTCGTTGGTACTTTATTGATTAAAAATACTGTTTTGATGTATTTTCGCAGAAGGAGCTGAAGAACAAAGTTGCTGAAGGGACATTTACGCCAATTGAAGACAAAGATGTTCTTGCAGTTGCTCTTCAGAAAAAGCCCAATGGTAGCAGAATACAGGGTGTAGGGCACTCCGTAACCCCAACAACGTACTTCCACAGGCCAAGTGCTGCGATAACTGAGAAGGGGAAAGAAAATAAAATATGTGATAAAAGATACGAAATGATGTTGGACAAGTTTGATGAAATGAAAACTTGTATGTCGAATGGTTTTAGTGAAATTGGCAGTTGTAGTATTGCCAATAAGTCTAAAAAGAGAAAGGTATGCACACACATTTAGTACATTCGTCCATATCCTATTACAAGTACACTTAAAGCTAATGTATATTTATTTTTCATGCCAAGTCTGGTGGAGAGGTGGATCAGCCCATTTGTACTCCTAGAAGATCTCCTAGACTGAAGTCAAAGCAGACTAATGAGGATGAACAACTTGAGGAAGGGAATGAAGGAAACAAAGATGTATACAGCTACTCTTTATCTCCACCATGCATTTCATGTAACAAATTTATTATATTTCAGCTTTGTTACTGGTCTACTTAATAAATAATTATATTTCTGTAAATAGAGTACTACGGCGATGAGGAAATCAAGGAAATCAAGGTTTACTCCTCGGAAAAGGTTGTTTGAAACTGTACCTATAATATCGCCTCGGCGTGTACAAACAGAGACTTCACCAGACATGTCTGACGAGGAGGTGACACATATAATTAGATGTTTTAGTTCATTAAAGTTCATACTATTAGTCACCAATTTAATTACATGTTTCAACTTATACTCTGTGTTAAATAGGATATGGATGAAGATAAACAGCAGCTTCTGCACAAGGTTAAAAGTTCCCGTAGAGAGAAAGGCAAAAAGGCTAGAAAATCCCTTTCAAAGTATCAAAGTTCTAAGGAGGTAACATATCTAGTTACTAAAAAATCTATATTTATAAGTTTTGTTACTTTAACTTTTATTTGTATATACTAAGTTAGATATTTTTATATCATTAAAGTTACTATTATTAATCACTGATTCGATTACATGTTTTAACTTATACTTTGTGTTAAATAGGATATGGATGAAGATAAAGAGCAGCCTCTCCCAGGGGTTCAAAGTTTCGAAAGACAGGATGACGAAAATGATAGAGAACCTCTATCAAAGTTTCAAAGTTTAAAGGAGGTGACATATCTAGTTACTAAAAAAATCTATATTTATAAGTTTTCTTACTAAGTTAGATGTTTTTATATTATTAAAGTTGGTATTATTAATCACCTATAGGATTACATGTAACATGTTTTAACTTAGACTATGTGTTAAATAGGATATGAATGAATATGAAGAGCAACCTCTGGTAGGGGTTCAAAGTTTCCAAAGAGAGGAGAGCAAATATGATAGAAAACCTCTTGCAAGATTTCAAAGTTCGAAGGAGGTAACATATCTAAGTTACTAAATAATCAACATTTTGTGATCTAAAAGACTGGAAGGAAGGTTGTTTACTAAGATTTTGCTAGAGCAGCATTTCTCTTGTAGGATATGGATGACGAAAATGATAGAGAACCTCAATTACCAGTTTTTGCTAAATGATTTCAAACACAGTATATTTTTGAATTAAAAAATCAATTTGGCTGCAAGTGTCGGGTTAGCCTAGCACCATTAATTTGCGTTGGCTGAGAACACATTTCTTCTTCTTAGGTCCAGCTACAGAGCAATAAAGATTACTGATTACCAACTGATAAACAACTGTAATCTAAGGAGGAATTGATCTTAACAACGAATTACCAGTATATTTAACTCCTTTTACCAGCTAGAGCAATAAAGATTGTCGTATTAATCTCAATTTGATTACATGCTTTAACTTATACTTTGTCTTAAATAGGATATGATGAGTGAAGATGAAGAGCCGCCTCTGAAGAAGATGAACACAACAACAAAGCCTGACAATGAAGTGATTGAGGATAATCCTAAAGATCTGGAGAGGTGTGGTGTGGTGGTTATAAAAGAGAAGAGGGCAAAAATGAAAGCAAAACAACCACTAAATATGCAAAGAAGGACAAGGGCGGTTGCCGAAAAGAAAAGAAGTCCAAGTGCTAACTTGCAAATGTTTTCCATTTTAGTTGAGAACTGACTTGGTGATGAGTGCACAATCAGCCATGGTGCTGAAATATTTGGCTTCGAAACTAAATCTGTGTTTAACAAGGATGTTTGCCGGTTAGTCATCAACTTTGAGGAGGTTTCAAACTCCATAATTGAGATTTGGTCGAGGTATTAAGTTGCTATTTTATAATACCGAGTATCAGTTTGTATATATTTAAATTATGTAAAACTGGTAGTAGTTGAATTAACATTGCTTAGTAGTTTGTATTTGTTCTACCCGGATCAGTAGTAACTTAATACTTCATTCACATACAAGGTACTTGCACGAGCAGATGATAAATGAAGGAGGGGAGATCCTTGTTCAGTTTGGTACTTCTTCAGCAGTACGAAGACCGAAGAAGCAAACAGTGCAATCTGTAACAAAGAGGTCGCAGTATATAGCCGATCTCTTAGGCGTTGCATTGCTCGGACAGATCACATTAATCCCCTATAATACTGGGTAATATTAAATCATCGCAAAATGTTGTGTTTTTTATGCCAGAATATCGTTGAATTTGTATGACATAATTACAAAATTGTGATATGTAGAAATCATTGGGTCTTGGCTGCAATTGACATGGCTATGCAAACAGTATATTACTTGGACTCTATAGGAGGATCTCCAGTAGAAGATTTGGAAAGCATAGTGAATCAGTTAAGTTAAACGCAAAATTAAACATTATGTGTGCTTTTTTGTTCTTATTCATATCCCCTTTAAAGTTGTTTTTAATAATGACATTTTCTCTTTTGTTTCCAGAGGAGTGAGGATTCATCATGCCTCAATTTCTAAGAATAGGATGAATCTGAAATGGGTGCGAGTCATGGTATGTGCATTTAATTTAAGTCTTGGGAGTGAAATATATATACCTTATACATTCATACAATTTACACATGTGATGCGTGTAAAAATTTATGTAACTGTGCTAGTGATAGGAAAAAACATATTATTTTCCCGGTGAATTTTAACATGCTGAAATTTAGGTAGTTTTCCTTGATAAAGAAATTTAGGTACCTTCAGTAACATGCTGAAACTTATATTGTGTATATGCTTAGAGGTTTCTTTGTAGGAAAGTGCATCAATCTGGAAATACAATCCTTTCCATTTCCTGGGATCCCAACACCAAGGAAAAACTTGGCCAAACCTGAAATCTTTTCCCCAGGAATCTGTAACCACAAGTCATAACAAGAAGGAAAAATGATTAAACTTGGCCAAAATCTTTTCTTGGGATTCCATTGTGAGTTTTGTTTTAAATTTGAAGTGATGGTCCCGTTTGGATTAAAAAATACAGTGCCCGAAGCAAGCAGGAGGAATGGAATGTGGTTATTTTGTTATGAAATATATGAAAGACATTGCGTCAGATGTCAAACTCTTGAAACAAAATGTGAGTTAACTAGAATCTTAGTTCTTTATTACTTCTGTACTTCCAAAGTGCTAATATAACTTGTAATTTTTTATTGTAGTTCTCTGAAATTAAGGAGTACAGTGACAATGATATTTTGGGAATACGTGAAGAGTGGGCTACATATGCAGCTACTTTGATAACAAGTAAGTTTATAGTTCAAAAGTGAAGAACATAATTTAAGTTTGGTACTATATATGGATGTTAGTTGTCTGGTTGGGCGATATGTACTTATGAACATAGTGATCATTTTTCAGTGCTGATGAATGAGACTGCTAGGAAGACTTGATGATGTGAAGCTGGCTGGGCGATATGTACTTATGAACGGTTATTGGCGTTGTATGTACGATCTGTAGGATGCTCACTTTTTGGACAAAACTATGTAGTTGCTTCGAATTCTCTTAACCAACAGTTGCTTAGTGGTAAACTGATCACTTTTGTGTTGGAACTTGCTGGAATTTTTGTCATGTTTTGTCCAGCATATATAATACCTAGAATGGCAAAGTTTGACATGAATATTATGCTTTTAATGTTCCATGTATGTTTTGAGATTTATTGACTTTATAGTTTATGGGATTAGATAATATTGAATTGGAATTTTTTAAATATAATTGAATGCTGAAATAATGCTGAAATAATTACCCATGGAATTTTCTAAATTACCCATGAAATTGAATGCTGAAATAATGCAAACCAAAGTGATACCAAAGTGTCACTAAAGAATGATACCATGGTGTAACTAGAAAATGTGATGTAAAAGTGTCACCGAATAGTTATGTCACCTATGTATCACTAACTGGTGATACGATAGTGTCACTAGAATATGTGATGTAAAAGTGTCACCGAATGGTTATGTTACTTATGTATCACTAACTGGTGATACGATAGTGTCACTAGAATATGTGATGTAAAAGTGTCACTGAATAGTTATGTCACCTATGTATCACTAATTAGTGATGTCATAGTGTCACAATTTTGTGACACTTGTAGTGACACTTAAAAAGTGTCACTATTTTCCACTTTCATTGACACTTTTTTAGTGTCACAGAAAGTTTCAGTGACACTAATTTGGTGTCACTGTAGGGCATTTTTCTAGTAGTGGATGGTGTTCACAACCTTGAGCAACTTCCTGCATCTGATGACTTTGCAAAGCTCAAAGATTTCATTCAGACTACTTTAACAAATGGGGTGGAATCACTTTCCTGTTTTTTGCTTAAAGAATTTCAGAGTCTTCTTATTTCCGCTTTGGGAAAGGGACTCAATAAGGATGCAAATACTTCTAAAACAGGGACTTGCTCAGAGCGAGAGGATCATAACAAAATGGGATTTTTAGATTCAAGCGATGGAATTAGAGGTAGACAAAATCATCCGGGATGGAGTGATGCAAATGTTATTACCATGGGCAACATTTTTGAAGACTCTGAGGGAGTTTATGGTGGTTCAGAATCTATATTTTCGGGTGATGAATTTCTTGGTCATGCATCAGAGAATGAGAAGAGAACTCCCATCTCGACTGTGGGGGACCTTTGGGACTCAGATACCAATGAGGTTATTTGTAAAAAGGCTCTGTTGGTCACGCCAGAAAATTGTCTACCTACTGAAAATCTAAGCACCCAAAAAAGATTATACAGAAAGAAGAATCAACGGTCTCATCTCATCTTATGAGAACTAGATCTCAATCAAGAACAGAGCTATGAAGATCTGACTAAGGGATTAAGAGCATTTTGAGAGGATCATGAAATACTTTGGGTTGGGTATTTTAGCTTAGATCGTTTTTTTTCTTTATTTATTTTATTTCTGTTTGTTCTCATTGTACCTTCTGTTTTTGGTTTTAATAAAATATTTTTTTGCTTGTTAAAAAAAAGTTAATGCTCTAGTCAATAGCTACATTTTTTTGATACATTTTATATCAATAATCAGGGGCGGAGGGAAGTATTAGGTCAAGGGGGCCATGACCCCTCCCACTTTTTAATTTTTTTTAAATATATTACCAATAGAAATTACTTGACCCCCTCAAATAAAATTTATGAAGGCATTTTGGCAAGCCTTATGTCTCCAATTTTTAGATATTATACTTCATATTTGGGAGATTTGCAATTTTAGTCCTATATTTTTTGGTTGTCCTTATTATTAGTTCAATAACTTTACTCACATATGTTACGGATTAATTAGGTGCTCTAACTAATAGGTCTCTGTAGTTTAAGGAATTTTCCTCTTGAAAGTTCACTTTATGGCAAACAAATTGACATAGGCGGTATACTTTGCGATGAATTATTTGTAAGAAAGTGTACTTTCCGGTGGGGAAGTACTTAATTGTAAACAATTCTTAATTAAATGACCAAATTTACGAGCGAATGAAGTATCAGAACTAAAAACGGGCACGGAGTAAATTCATGGGACTAAAATTGCAAATTTTCCTTTATATTTTAGAACTTGTATTATATTCCGGCCCCCTTGTACTGAAGTTTGGCTCCGCCCCTGTCAATAATGCTTATGGAACTCTCTTTTGTAATTTCAAATACTATTTTACGAAGTACTACATATCAGATTAATTAGCAGTAAAACAGTGCACTAAAAATAGTCACAGTTTATAACAGTTTCGGATTTTATGATTTCTTCCCTTTAAGATTTTATAATTTCTATTAATTTTAAAAATAAATTAAATGATTATATAAACAAAAACTTTGATGGCAAATAGAGTGAAGAAAAGATAGGGTATTCAATGACACCAATTCTAGTTAAAACAGTAGCTCCACATGACATAGTCCATAACATAAAACACTAAATTCAAGGTTGCACTAAATGAAACCTTTATTATCATATCATATATCATAATAAAGTCAAATAATACTTCGTAGCTCTCAAGTTCAAGGGGAAGTGAAAAGAAACATTACTAAAATTAAATAATACTCACTAAATGTCATCATCTATGGCAGTTTTAGACTTGGGTTGTACATACGAGCATAAGCTTGGCATGATGGCAAGGTATCCATCCATAATTGGGTTGCTTCAATACTGCTCTCGGATAAAACTTGAACGTACTTTCCCGATGAATTTGAAACAATTTTAACACACTTGGTTTCCTGAGCCAAATAAATGAGCTTCATTTCCTGCGTTTCCAAATCAACGGAAACAAGATATGGTTTATAGTTGTCTTCACCCGAAAAACGACGAGTTCCGCAGCAACCAATAGCGCGATACTTCTTAATATCTGGAAATGCCAACAGATGCAAACGGCCACCCTGATTCCAAATTCCAACAGGACTCCATTCTTCTTCCCAAGTTCGATATTCCGCTGGTGGATACAATAACTCATGTTTTCCTATACTTCCACCACAATCGATCCTCCACTGTTTAGGCCAATCAATGTCGCCACTGGTTTCACTCATTAACCTTATATCCATATGATCCATTGGCCATGAATCCTCTTCGCAGCGGTGACTAATGAGGGCTATAGTGTCGTTCATGACGGTACATGAGAAATGATCACCTGTGTTAGGCAACGGGATCATCCCAAAAACCTCACTGTCCAAGTCGAACCACAGCAAACGCTCTCCCGAGAAGGGTAAATTGGAGCCATATACGCTGTGTACTCGCCAATAGTATTTTCCCTTCAGATAAAAGTCTTGAGTAGGTTCCACAGCCACATTTGGAAGAGCATCAATCTTTCTCCACCTCCATGAACCATCCCCTGCATCTTGGCTGCAAACCATTACAATTTCATAAGTGAATTCGATGTCACGGGGATCATAATCAAAATGCCAAAGCATGACGACCTTCCATGTCTTGTTGTTCGAAATCCCAAATCCAAATGCTTCATACAACAAATAGGTGATAGCTACATCGGTGGGTGGGTTGTTAGGAACGACAACAGGCGGTAAGGCATTTATCTCCTTAATGAATGGGTTCCATATCAAAACGTTGAAATTCATATCTCCAGTATAACAACAATCCGAAAAATCTGAAGAACGGAGATCAAAACCCCCCTTGCTGAAAATCAAACACAACATTCCGTCACAACTACTGACATATCTTGCAGCTGAATCTGGGATTTCTACGCATGTGCATCTAACCTCATCACACTCCGATTCTTTGTGAAGCAAAGCGAAAAGTTTGTTGGCTGAGCTTCCTGGTGCAGTTTCGACCTCTATAACAGCACAATCGTATTTCCCTCGATTAATTTCATAGAATTTGTTCTTCAAGTGATGATCCTTCTTTATCAAATCACACAAATATTTGCACACACACTTGAATCGCATAAGAGATTTTATGGGCATCTTCACCAATATCTCAATCAACAGCTCTCTTGGAAATTTGCAGTTCTCCATTTTCCGTAGGGTAACACTTTCTAGGATTTCCAGATAATAAAGGATCTTAAATCGAATTCTGGCCGAAATCTCTGCTTATAGAGCTAAACCAACTAATAAACCCTATTTAGTCGTTGCTTGACCGCCTAAGTAGTAGGAATTAACCGATTTATACGGCTGAGTGATCGTATAGAATATTTATTCCGGATTACTCCCTCCCTTACACGTCTTTGCCTAGGGTTTAGGATTTTAAATACGAAGTCGTAGTGGAGTACTGCGCAACTCCAAACCATATTTAAATTACTACTCCGTATCACAGTATTAGGGATACACTGTATCACCATTTGCATATTAAATATTTGGAAATTAATTTAGAATTTTAAATAATTCCAAATATTTACTCCCAATCATGGTTTGAAATAGCGGTCCGCTACCGCTATAGCGGCCGCTATATAGCGGTCGCGGTAGTGGCCGCTACCGCTACGGCCCGCTATTCGTGTGTGATTTCCAAATCACGGGAAAAATCCGCTACGCCGCCCGCTACAGTCCGCTACAGCCCGCTACAGCCCGCTATTGACATTTCCGGCAGTACATCACAAACTGTTTGATGTGTAAATGTGTATATGTTGTGTGAATGATGTGAAAAAATACATTAATGGTGATTCCTGGAGTGAAACTCAAAATTAAATGTTGTGTGAATGATGTGAAAAAATACATTTATGTTTTGCGCAATTGATAATATTTCACGCCGCTGCAACCGCTACAGTCGGCTACAGCCCGCTACAGGCCGCTACCGCGATGACCGCTACCGCTACCCGCGATGACCGCTACCGCTAATTCAACGCATGTGAAATTACGGAGCAGTTAAAGAATAATTCAAAGATGATTTATCTGGAAATAAACCCATTTAATTTATATTGATTTTAATTTTAAAAGATAAACTGGTCAAAAATAAAAGTTAAAGGTTTTATTTATTTAAAATACTCTTAAAATTTCCAACAAAAGAGAGCCAAAGCTAGGCGACAGAGAATGTAGAGATAGAACCGTCTCGAATGCATGTTCAAGCCCTAGGAGCATCAGATACATATGGACTGTTTAGCCTGGGCCGATGCATCACATATATAGGTCCTGTTTAGCCTTGGGCCAACTGGGAGTGTTTAGCCTTTGATCCGTTAGTTATACACTTATACAATTCTTTGTAGTATTTCATATATGATTTAGGGAGTATTTGCAATAGTTTGTGCTTTAAAAGAGTTATTTTAAAAGTAATTTTGGAAAAAATGCTTAATAGTAAAAGTTGGTAGTGTTTGATAAAAAAGTGATTTTGAAAAGTAAAAATGTGTACGTAGTGTTGGGTAAAATATGTGCTTTTGTGTAATAGAAAAAGTAAAAAGCATATTTTAGCTTTTAAGTTTTTTAATATTTTATTTAAGCATAAGTTGTCACTTGAAAACACGTTTTTTAGCTCTTTTTTTAAGCCAAGAGTCGAGAAGCGTTTTTTTTAAACGTTTGCAAACATTACCTTATACTAGGGGTGGACTCGGGCCGGTTCGCGGTTCAGAAAATTCTAGGCCTGAGCCCGAACCGCCAGTGGCCGGTTCCGGTTCCGGTTCCGGGCCAAACCGGGCCGGGCCGGGCCAACCGGCCCACATATTTTGTTTTGGGTTTTTGGTTCTCCTATTTAACCCACTACCCCTCCCCCTCAACCCCAAACCATCCCAAACCACCTCAAATGGCCCAAAATACCTAATCCAACCTAAAATTTAAAAAAATTTCAAAAAAAAAAAAATTAAAATTTGGCCCGGACCGGGCCCGAACCGGCCGGGCCGGTTCACCAAAAGCTGGGCCCGAGCCCGCACCGCCCAGCACCCGGGCCGGGCCAAACCGAACCGGTGGACCCACCGGGCCACGGGCCGGGCCGGGCCAAACAGTGACCGGGCCGGGCCGGACCCGGGTCGGGCCGATCGGCCCGAGTCCACCCCTACCTTATACTCCCTTAGTCGCATAAAATTCTTTGAAGTTTTGTATGGATCAGAGTTTAATTAGGTGAGCATAAGATGTAAATGTATTGTTGTGATTCAATAAGAAGATAAGTGAATGTTAGTCATACAAAAAATTTCCACAAATGAAATGTGGGGAAAAAAATTGGAACATCATAAAATGATAAATGAAAAGAATTTTATAGAATGAAGTGTGTGCTTTTTAAGTGTTTAATTATGTAAAATGAAGACAACATGAATGGTGAGTGACAAGCATCAACGAATTGGTTGCACCCTTCACTTTTAGTCTAAAATTGGAAACTCTTCAATAGTTTTGTTAACGTTAATAGAAAACAAATGGCTAAAAGGGTTGTTATTAGATGGTGACGATCAAAGTAAAATGAAGACAACCAATATTGTCTATATATAAAGAAGTTTTTCAAAATTTATTTAACTCATATTTGATTTTGCTATCGATTGTTTACAAATAGTACTATTATGTACGTTGTTCTGCTATAATTAGAATAATTTTTTACATGCATATTGTTTTTTCAGTAGTTGTATGCAATTTGCCTGCTTGTGCATCGCACCGATAAACTGCACGACAAAAAGCTTTTTGAAAGTCTGTGTAGAAGTCTCTCGTGGTCAACTTTATGATCCGGTTAATACGGGTAATTTGTTGTTGAAGAAGCAAGTTTTCTCTCATGGTCAACTTTATGTTGCGGTTTCAAGAGTTACCAATAGAAAAATGGCTGAAAATTTGTTGTTAGTAGATGGTGACGAACAAAGCACAACACAGACTGCGAATTTGTAAAGCTAATGTTTGTTATTCAACTTTAATTATTTTAATTGATGCAACAATATGTTTTTTGAAAATGTTTATTTAATTATATGTATTTAAGCTTTTGTCGTGCATCGCACGGGTGAGCTACTAGTGGTAGATTAAGATGGAAAAAAATATACATGTTTGTATACAATATTAATTAAATGTTATTATTATTATTATTATTATTTAATACTAGCTAGTAACATTTTAATACATAATGAAGTTGTGTGAGTAGGTAGTATATTACAGTATGTTATTAAGCGTGACAACTCTATCTTTCATACATGTTAATGTCTACGTGTGTGTATTTTTATACATACACAAACACAACATTACTAAATAGGGGCGGAGCTAGGACAATGTGACGGTACAAAGAATATATTTTTGAAATTTTTTTACATGGAATTTTTTACACTAAACATATAGATTTTTTTTTTATATGGGCTGGGCCAGGGCCGATGCTTTTTGGAACATTGGTTAAAATCATTGAAGTTTTGTGTTTGGCACACTATTGAGCTAAATGGGGATGGAATCGTTTAAATCTTTTGTGCTCTTGATTTTTACGTAGTACTTCTTAATTACAAAAGTTTGCATTGGTTTAATCTGACGATCAATGTATTTTAATTTAACCAATGATTTTAAATAATATATTTTGGTGAAAATCTTTGCTGAAAAAAGGAAAATGTGATAGTAGTATAAAACAAACTCGTTATTGGGGTAGTAAGCTGTGCACTTTCATTAAAAAACATCATCATTATTCAAAATAAAGCACCCAAAACCTATGAAGCACGTAAACTCTCCAGGGTCACGTTTCCACGTTTCGGAAAGTTAGAAGCGTTTCAGAAACTCGGAAACTTTAAATTCCCGTTTCGGGACCGTTTCCGTAATTAAGAAAAATTTGGAAACCCGTTTCAATTCACTACGTTTCAGAAACCTCGGATTCCAATTTTTTTCCCCTTTTTAAAGATTCTGTGGTGGAAAATAATTTTTTTTGATAGCGAATTTTTGTGGTATTTCTCATCAGCAACACATGTTACATTTTGTAACGCAATATATTGCTAGAAATGTATTACTCCGTGCATTTTATGTTTAATTATGTACTAATATGAAGTAATATGTAAATTCCAACATGTAGAGTGATATTATTATTTGGTTACTAAACAAATTATATGAAAAAACATGTGCTTATGGAAAAACTTGTGTACATATATTAAAAAATATTTATAAATATATCCTTATATTTTATAATATTTACACGTTTCTCCCATGTTTCGTATCCTATATATTTTAGAAATTACATTTCTCGTGTTTCCCGTTTCACGTTACCCGTTTCATGTTTCCGTGCTACTTAGCCCGAAACAATCACATTTGGCTTGGTGGTTTTCACCTTCTCAAACAACTTGAGCCAATTTTATTTGCACATATCAATTTTGATTGGGTGCTTTCCAATTTTTCTCAAATAACTTGATCTCAAATCGCGTTAGAACTACCAAATCCCTAGAGCCTCTCTTCAATAGCGTGATGTTTTGTGACAGCTAGCCGTTACTAATTAAATCCCACCCTCTGAAATCTCACTGCAGTTTTATATGTATACTTTCACGCAGTCAACTTCAAAAAATGATTTGAATGTCTTCCCGATCGAATTTTGAGCTGAAATTTGATATGGACAAACTAGACTTGATGAGGAACATGCTCAAAAAATTTCATCTAAAAATTCCATCGGGAAGGTGCCCAAACGGGCTCGGCCAATCGGAGGTTCTCGTCAGGCCGGCCTGACAAGAAGAGTTCTCCTCAATGCAATGTATTAAGGGTAGCCCAGGTAGCTGTCAATCATGATATGATGATAACAAATGAATTTTATATAGCCAAGTCCGTGAATCAGCATTTCCATAATCTTGCATCACCCAAATGTCAGTCCACAGGCATACACATCTCAATATGCATATTCATCTCCATCACACCCCGTAACTCCCTAACTACAACAATATGTGTACTTACATCCCGTTCCTAATGTTTTAATTTTTTTGGGAGCGATACATCTCTAAATATCTCCTCGTCTATGAAGAATTCAATTCCTAATTTCCCTGAAGTTTCCTCCATGTGCAAGAATGACAAAGGGATCTTCCATACACCTAGGAGTGACCTTCCTTCCAACCACCATTGAAGCTTCCTTCCACCTTCATAGTACCTAGTTTTGGTGCTATAAATAGAGAGCTTGGAGAGTCTTTCTATCATCAAGTAAATTAGAATAGATCATCATAGCACAACCAAGAAGAGTTGTGAATATCCTTGAGAGATATGTGAGGTGTTGTTTTGAGAGTTTTTAGTTAGAGCTTGTATGTCTCTTATTTCTATTCTTGAAAGTAATAGAAGTGTTTTTCTCTCATATTAGCACGATCCTGTTATTCCCAACAAGTGGTATCAGAGCAAGGTTGAGCTTTTGATATTTTTCCCAGATTTTTTTTTTCAGATAAAATTCTACTGTCTGAAAAATCGAGTTTTTCAGTATTGCTCGGAATTGCAATCTGAATATACCGTTGGATTCGTCTCGTCGAGACGAGAAAACTGGTATTTTTGGGGATTTTTTTGGCCACCGGAAGCTGCCGTACGCGCCGCCAAACGCCGGCCAAAAACTGCCTGCGTCATGCTGACGTCATCACGCGCAGACAGAGGTTGAAGACAGCTGACGTCATCGCTGACGTCATCAGCCAGCCAGAGCTGCGTCAGCGACACGTCAGCGCCACATGTGCAGTCCCAGCACAGTCAGCCGCCACGTCACCGGTCAACTGCCAACTTTCACCAGCGCCCAGTCAGCTGCCACGCCATCGCCCAGTCACCGCCATGTCACTGCCACGTCATCTGCCACGTCACCGATCAGTTTGTAATTTTTAAAATTTGCAGTTTGGTCCCTCAATTTTTGGAAAATTATAATTTCCACCTATAATTTTTCGAAAATTGTATTTTGACCCCGAAAGTGCCTACCCACCACTTTCGGCCGTTCCGGACGCAACGGTGCTGCCCGTATTTCGAAATACGGCTCCGATTTTTCTGAAACAGAAAATCAAAATTATTTAGAAGGTGAAAATGACCTTTGACGAGTCAACTTCATCTTCCGGAGCTATGATTATGCTCACGGCTACTAACTACACGCTATGGAAACCTCGGATGGAAGATTTCCTTAGCTGTAAAGACCTTTTTGATCCAATAGAGATGAAAGGTATTAATCCTGACCCGGCTAAGTCAACGGAATGGAAGAAAATTAATAGAAAAACTATTGGTCAAATCCGACAATGGAGTGACCATAGTGTCTTCCACCATGTTGCACAAGAAACCGATGCTTATGCCCTTTGGAAAAAGTTAGAAGATATGTACCAGGCCAAGACCGCTAGGAACAAGGCCCTACTGATGAGGCGTCTTGTCAATATGAAGCTCAAAAGTGGAACTTCTGTTGCCGAACATACTAGTCAATTTCAGAGTCTGGTAAATCAACTATCTTGTGTAGAAATGCCACTTGGAGATGAAATGCAATCTCTAATGCTTCTTAGTTCCCTTCCTGATAGTTGGGAGACACTAGTTGTTACTCTCAGCAACTCAGCCCCAGATGGCAAACTTACCATGTCTGTGGTCAAAGATGCACTGTTCAATGAGGAGGCAAGAAGGAAAGACATGAGCACAGATGAGACTCATGCCCTTGTGACAGAGAATAGAGGAAGATCACAAGGAAAACAACAAAGAAACAGTAGAGGGAAATGGCAAAGCAGGGGCAAAAGTCGGGGGAGATCATCAGATGGCCGGAAACCTTCTTATACCTGCCACCATTGCGGTATAGAGGGTCACATGAAGAAGAATTGCTACAAATTGCTAGAGGAGCGAGGCAAGAGCAATTCTCAAGCGAAGAGCAAGGGTGGTGAAGCGCTCATCACAATCTCAGGTGATGTGGCGTATTGTACTATCAATGATGAAACATGCCTTCACGTCTCAAGAGAGGACACTGAATGGGTGGTAGATACTGCAGCATCCTACCACGTTACTCCCCACAGGTACTACTTCACAACTTACAAAGCTGGAGACTTTGGAGCAGTGAAGATGGGTAATTCCAGTTCATCTGAAATTGCTGGAATTGGTGATGTACAAATAAAGACGAGTTCTGGGAGCACAATCACTTTGAAGGATGTCAGACATGTTCCAGACCTTCGTCTCAATCTCCTGTCAGTGGTATGTCTTGACGAACAGGGATATGAAAACCACTTCAACAGAGGCACCTGGAAAATGTCAAAGGGCGTTTTGACAATCGCTCGAGGACATGTTTGTGGCACATTGTACAAAACCCATTTGAGGATTTGTACGGATAGCCTCAACATTGCTGAGGAGACTTCTCAGAATCTGTGGCACCTGAGACTCGGCCACATCAGTGAGAAAGGGCTGACTACCTTGATCAAGAAGAACCTTATCAACATCGACAAGAATGCTGCACTGGGTCCTTGCAGTCATTGTCTGTTTGGTAAGCATCATAGAGTATCATTTAGTTCTACTTCAGCTAAAAGATCAGAGTTGTTAAGTTTGGTACACTCCGACGTCTGTGGTCCTTTCGAGGTGGAATCAATCAGTGGAAGCATATATTTTCTGACTTTTATTGATGATGCTTTTCGGAAAGTGTGGGTGTATTTCCTGATTACGAAAGATCAGGTATTTGAGTGCTTCAAGACATTTCACGTCTTGGTGGAACGTGAAACGGGAAAGAAGCTGAAATGTCTCCGATCTGATAATGGAGGCGAGTATACTTCTAAGGCGTTCAATGCATATTGTAGAGAATATGGCATTCGACATGAGAAGACAGTACCACACACCCCTCAGCACAACGGCGTTGCTGAAAGAATGAACCGGACTATCATGGAGCGTGTCCGGAGCATGCTGAATATGGATAAGCTTCCGAAGTCATTCTGGGCAGAAGCAGTCAACACCGCATGCTACCTTATCAACCGATCACCTTCGGTACCACTGAACTTTGAAGTTCCAGAGAGGTTATGGACAGGTAAGGATCCTACATACTCACATCTTAGAGTATTTGGCTGTTCATCATATGCACATGTATCCAAAGAGCTCAGGCAGAAGCTCGATGCAAGAATTATCCCATGCATTTTCGTTGGCTATGGAAATGAAGAGTTTGGATACAGGCTATGGGATCCTAAGGAGAAAAAGGTGTTCAGAAGTAGGGATGTTGTGTTCCACGAAGATTTGACAATAGAAGACATTGAAAAACCCACAATGTCTCGGAAGTCAAATGAGGGTGTTCAAGTTTCAAATGAAGCACCAGAAGAGGACAAAGTGCATGAAGATAACTCAGAATCAGAAGAAGGCGAGGAGACAGAAGAGAGTGCAGAGCAAGGGGAGACACAATCCACCCCGCCAGACACAGATGATGGTAACTCTTCTCAGATGGTTCCAACTGTTCGTAGATCTGAACGAGGGCATATACCATCGACAAGGTACACATCATCTGAATATCTTTTGTTAACTGAAGATGGAGAACCAGAGAGTTTTCAAGAAGCTATGTCTCACAAGGATAAAGAAAAATGGCTAATAGCAATGCAGGATGAGTTAGAATCTCTACAGAAAAATCAAACCTATGAGATCGTAGAACTTCCTAAAGGGAAGAAAGCTCTGAGGAACAAATGGGTGTTCAAGCTGAAGAAGGATGCAAATGGACAAGTGGTGAAACACAAAGCTCGGTTGGTTGTCAAAGGGTTCCAGCAGAAGAAAGCAATTGACTTTGATGAGATCTTTGCACCAGTTGTCAAGATGACCTCAATCCGAGTTATACTTGGCTTGGCAGCAAGTATGAACTTGGAGCTTGAACAGATGGATGTGAAGACAGCATTTCTTCACGGAGATTTGAAAGAAGAAATCTACATGCAGCAGCCGGAAGGTTTTGAGAACTCAAATGATAACTTTGTGTGTAAGTTATCTAAAAGTTTGTATGGCTTGAAGCAGGCACCAAGGCAGTGGAATAAGAAGTTTGACTCATGCATGAAGAGTCAAGGCTACAAGAAGACTACTGCGGATGAGTGTGTATACATCAAGAAACTTCTAGACGGTACTTTCATTGCTCTTCTACTATATGTAGACGACATGTTGATCGTTGGGAAAGATGCAGTGAAGATAAAGCAACTGAAGAAAGAACTCTCTAAGTCTTTTGATATGAAAGACTTAGGACCGGCTCAACAGATTCTTGGGATGCAGATCACTCGAGATAGGAAGAATCGCAAGTTATGGCTATCTCAGGAGAAGTACATTGAACGAGTACTTGAGAGATTCAACATGAATGATGTAACACTTGAGATTTAATATAAACGGATTAATAGTACTACTCATACCAACAGAGGTGCATCTCCTTTTAAGGGAGCTCATCACCCAAGAACTCCAAAGTTAAGCGTGCTTGCACGGGAGTAGTCTTGGGATGGGTGACCCCCTGGGAAGTTTCTCAGGGCGCGCATGAGTGAGGACAAAGTGCGCGGTAAAGGCTTGTGGTGGTTTGTGAGGACAGTACTATTGGTCCGAAGTAACTACCTCGGGTCCGGTGGGGCCGGGGTGTTACAGGTGGTATCAGAGCAACCCTGCGACAGTGTGTTGACCCGTTGGATATCGGGCAGACACTTAGCGGGGGAAGATTCTGGGATTTGATTGAGATTTGAGATTGGTTCAAGGGCGCAACGAGGACGTTGCGATCCTAAGTGGGGGTGATTGTAACACTTGAGATTTAATATAAACGGATTAATAGTACTACTCATACCAACAGAGGTGCATCTCCTTTTAAGGGAGCTCATCACCCAAGAACTCCAAAGTTAAGCGTGCTTGCACGGGAGTAGTTTTGGGATGGGTGACCCCCTGGGAAGTTTCTCAGGGCGCGCATGAGTGAGGACAAAGTGCGCGGTAAAGGCTTGTGGTGGTTTGTGAGGACAGTACTATTGGTCCGAAGTAACTACCTCGGGTCCGGTGGGGCCGGGGTGTTACAAATGATGCCAAACCAGTAAGTGTTTCACTTGCGAATCACTTCAAGTTGAGCAAAAGAACATGCCCTACATCCAAGGAAGAGATCGGGGAGATGTCAGCAGTTCCATATTCTTCAGCAGTTGGGAGTTTGATGTACGCCATGGTATGCACAAGGCCAGACATCGCACAGGCAGTGGGTACAGTGAGTCGTTTTCTCTCTAACCCCGGGAAGGAGCATTGGGAGGCAGTCAAATGGATTCTCAGGTACTTGAAAGGTACCACGAAGTTATGTCTTTGTTACGGAGGAGCTGATCCAGTCTTGGAAGGCTACACAGATGCTGATATGGCCGGAGATACTGATAGTAGAAAGTCTACTTCAGGATATATTTACACTTTTGCAGGGGGGGCCGTTTCTTGGCAATCAAGATTGCAGAAGTGTGTCGCTTTATCTACAACAGAAACAGAATACATTGCTGCCGCTGAAGCAGGTAAGGAAATGTTGTGGCTAAAGCGCTTTCTCCAAGAACTTGGGATCCAGCAGAAAGAGTACAAGGTACATTGTGACAGTCAGAGTGCTTTAGACTTAAGCAAGAACTCCATGTACCATTCTCGTACAAAGCATATTGATGTTCGGTATCACTGGATACGAGAGACGATTGATCAACAACTGTTGAGACTAGTGAAGATCAATACAAAGGAGAATCCATCAGACATGCTGACGAAGGTGGTGACACGGGATAAGCTAGAGCTGTGCAGAGACATAGTCGGGATGCTTGTTTTGAATATGCCTGGAAGGGGAGAATTGAAGAATTCAATTTCCAGGTCATATCCAAGTACAAGCAAATTGAAGAATCCAATTCCTAATTTCCCTGAAGTTTCCTCCATGTGCAAGAATGACAAAGGGATCTTCCATACACCTAGGAGTGACCTTCCTTCCAAGCACCATTGAAGCTTCCTTCCACCTTCATAGTACCTAGTTTTGGTGCTATAAATAGAGAGCTTGGAGAGTCTTTCTATCATCAAGTAAATTAGAATAGATCATCATAGCACAACCAAGAAGAGTTGTGAATATCCTTGAGAGATATGTGAGGTGTTGTTTTGAGAGTTTTTAGTTAGAGCTTGTATGTCTCTTCTTTCTATTCTTGAAAGTAATAGAAGTGTTTTTCTCTCATATTAGCACGATCCTGTTATTCCCAACAGTCTATGTGAAATGAAGTGACTGAATGAGGCAAGCACTCGTCTTCATCCTCATATTCAACATATCCAAACCAATGCATCATGCCGTTTACAAAAGCCTGACCACTAAACAACCACCTTGTAGGAAACAAATCATGAACGAATCGTTGAATCCGCCACTTACCTGAACTCAAAGAGTAGATTTCAACTGACATAGGATTGACCCCATCATTTTTATGGACCCTAACAACTATATAGTCACCGTCACTTGCAACACAAAATCCGATTTGACAACTACTTGACCTTGGAGGAAGAATGGAGGGAGGTGGTAATACCACGTGTCTTCGAATAGAAGGATTCCATAACGTAATTAACAGGTGAGAATGTGGATGGGTAAAGCATAAACAAAGCAATCCGTCGAAGCTGCCCACGATCAGGGGCGGAGTCAAGGGGGGTCAGCGGGGTCAGTCGACCCCGCTGAAAGTTTGAGAGCATAGAGCTCTGAAATATCTTCGATTTGATATATTATGGCCCCCGTAACTCATTACGAGTAAAAAGTTATGACTTCTGCAAAATCAGCACTATCTAAACGTAAAATCAGCAAAATTTGATGAGTAATATTGTTTTTTTCCCCCAAATTTTAAAAATAGCGTATAATTAACTCATTACTTACGTGACATGACTCAAAAATAGAGCAAAAACTGTCTCTTTTATTGTTACGAGTGCCTATTTATCTAAACTACATATAAAATATTCAACTCGAACATTTTTTGGAAACGATCCACCGTTTTCATTTTGTATAAAGTTGATTCTCGACCCCCCTGGACCGTATTTCTGGCTCCGCCACTGCCCACGATTTCGAGCACCCTCGAATCCTTTTGATTGAGAATTCCCTATCAGGTTTGACGATTGGTCCAAGTTGTAGACTGAGATTGTCGTCCAGATTTTCACCATCTTTCATAAGAGCAAAACGAGTATTTAAATCACCCTTAGTTATACAGAAGATCGGAATTGATCGGCAGCTCTTTTAGACAAGTGTGCTGAGACGAATCCGGAATTCGTCAGGATAGAGAACCATGACTTACTCGCTGTAGTGAAACGAATCACAGATTTTACGGGTAATCTCGTGAGGATTTCAAAAATGAGTTCATTCGGCAATGATAGCAGCAATGGCAGCATTTCATAGGAAAACCGGCTTAAGTTTAGGTGAAATTTGAGAATACCGTTTGCAAAAACTGGAATTTCTATGTGATTACAAGCTTTTACTCTGAGTGAGAAGTAGGACCTGCAGGGCCGTCTTTAGTTGGTTTGGTGCCCCAGACAAAAACTATAATTGCATTTTAATATTAGTCAGTAATGTTTTACACATTTAATTACATATAGTAATATAGAGTAG